AACTACTTTGGAACAAAATTTTGGTTTGTAGTTGTTAATAATTGCCATAAATTGAAGAAATATATTTGTTTGATCGTGTTTTTGTAGAATAAGTTGAATGAGCTTGACGAATGCAGTCAGTACTATGAAATTATTTACTTATTTTCACGCTATGCTGTAGAAAGAGTACAGATAATATTATTTCCTGGGTATACCAATTTAAAGAATTACATCACAATGATCCACAAGAAATCCACACGACTCCAGACCATCTTGTGAAGAGAAAAGCTACATGTTTGTAAGAAACAAATCCATCAAGGTGTTTTAACTTTAAACCGTCACTTCTGGCTAAAATATGAGTCTATTCTTCTTCCAGTGAAAAAGTCTATCCCCTGCCCTCTTACATCAAAATCCACCAACATATTTGTTTAGAACTGTTTCCGCTGTAAACGATGCTTGATCTGTGCATATTTCTCTCCTGATTCAGATGAGGCTACTTTTTCACTGAAGAAAACAATATAGAAAATTTCGTAGGATCATATAGCATTATGATATAAAAAATACTGGGCATATGTAACTTTTAGGAATATTGATAGCGCAATAATAATATTATGAATATTACAATATTTTTTCATGGCACTTCAGTACATTTTCCTCTAAACTCTCATAAAAAAAAACCCTCAGCATCAATTAATCAGCATAAATTAAAATGAAATGATGCACTACTAATACTATCATGTGTAGATTCTCAGATATTAAATACTTTACTTATTTTTGCTTTACACCAATATCAGTGACATTTTCTGCATTACGGCAATGAGAATTGAGAGGACAAATTTGCTTAATTATCATAAATTTAATGTTTTTATTTTCTTTTAAATTTGGCATTAAATTACCCAGACATGTTCTTGACATGTTTCATGAGATTCACCCCAAAATGCCTGTTTATTAATTAAAAGAATTATAGCATGACAAAGCCATATTTTTTTTACAGATGTAATATTAAATCTGCATGTGAATATCAAAGACCTCTGAGATTTAATTGATAGTTCAAATGAAGAATCAGCAAGAATCCACACACACGAGAAATAGACTCCGGCTCAAAGGCAGAAGGTCTACGTGAGTGTGTGTGTGTGTGTGTGTGTGTGTCTGTTAACTGCTCTTTAATCGCTACATGTTTGTAAGAAACAAATCCATCAAGGTGTTTTAACTTTAAACCGTCACTTCTGGCTAAAATATGAGTCGATTCTTCTTCCAGTGAAAAAGTCTATCCCCTGCCCTCTTACATCAAAATCCACCAACATATTTGTTTAGAACTGTTTCCGCTGTAAACGATGCTTGATCTGTGCATATTTCTCTCCTGATTCAGATGAGGCTACTTTTTCACTGAAGAAAACAATATAGAAAACTCGATGTTTAGCCAAAAGCAATTAAAAATTAATGGATGGATTTGTTTCTTACAAATGCACAGCTTTTGGCTTCACAAGACAATAATTGATGGACTGTGAAGATTACTTCACTAGTGGATTACTGTGATGTTTTTATCAGCTGTTTGGACTCTCATTCTGATGGCACCCATTCACTGCAGAGCATCCATTGGTGAGCAAGTGATGTAATGCTACTTTTCTCCAAATCTGTAAACGATAAAGAAACAAACTCAATCTACATCTTGGATGGCCTGAGGGTGAGTAAATATTCAGCTAATTTTCATTTTTGGGTGAACTACTCCTTTAGATTGTTAGATAATGCCGAGAAGGACGTCCGATATGGGACTGGCCAAAATTAACATTTTACAAAGGGATACAGGCACTTTTTTCTTGGATAATCTAATCATTCTCACAAACAAAAGCATGAAAAGTCTGCATTAAAACATGAAACATCATATGACACCAAAATGTACTGTACTCATGAAAAGTGCTTGTGTATATGAACCATACCTAGATCTGAGGACAGAGTGAAATGACAGGGCAGATGTCGTCCCTCATGAGTGCTGGGGTCTCCAGTCTTTCTCACCCACTCCACAGCTGCGTCTCCATGGACACCAGCTGGCCAACCACATCCAGCAGGGGGAGGGGTCAGTCGAGGCATAGATCACCAGCTGACACACTCACTCAAGCACATCAAATCCAGATCTGTGATGTCAGAATGTTGTCACATGTGATCAAGCAGCAGTCATGAATTAGTAACTCACCAGCTGACAGAATGACTCTTGCTTGGGAAAACTCTGGTCTGTGTAATTAATGAGCGGTTCTTGACATGTTTATTTTAGTAAACTAAATATCCCTGGTTCTTGGGTGACCTGCATGATTAAATAAAATTGAACAGAATTAAATAAAGTTGTACAAACATTATGTACAGAAATGTTTTCTGTGTAGTAGCCCAGTTACCGTGTTTACAAACTGTAAAAAGTCTTGAGTCTCTGTTTATTCAGGCTTAAAAAGAGAATATCTATTATATTTGAGGTTTTGAGAAGGTAAATTGTTTTTACACACATTTCATTTAATAAAAAGTAAGATTTTTTTTCACAATATTATACAGGCTATTTTCACAAAAAAAAGGCGGTGGTTTGTGGTATCTGAGGAGACCTTCTGTAAATTACCCTATAGCGCCATCTGCTGATGCTTACAAAATACTATGGCGCATGGTGGTATTTACATTCATTGTATTACAATTTAGAATACCATATATTAATTCCCTGGCACATGTCTAGGGGGAAAAACATACTTTCTGACACCTTTTTTATTTTTATTTTATTTTATTTTTATTTTTTGTAAGAGGAGACTAAAGAACTCTGGGCCATTTATTCGCACATTTAGTTGACCAATAGAGGGCGACACCGAAATATAAATATAAGTGTATATTTATATTGTATATAATTCACATTTATTTGGTAGGTGTTCTGTTCCTTTTATCGAAGCGACTTGGATGTAAGATGCATATTTTGTGCATGAACATAAAATATTCCAGTACCATTATTACCTGAAACGAACTTTTTTAATGAAGGATAACGTTAACTATCCAGTAGGCTACAACTTTAAGTAGCAGAGAGCTGCTGTTTAGTGCGAGTTAAGTCCTTGATCTGTACTAACTGATAACAAATATACCAAGTCCGATGTCTTACCTGTTATTAAAACTGGGTGGGAGCTGAAAGCCACCCAGAAACTACCGAGCATCATTATAGAGCCTCAAACCAGGCGGCAGGGCAAGATTATCCCTCAGTTCTCTCAGATCGGCTGCATATAGACGTCTGCTGCTGCAGCGGGTCATTTCAGTTTGTGGGTGTTTATGTGTGATCCTCCCTAATGTGGTTGTGCTCAAACCACGGGAGCTGAAACCCTCCTGCTTCCTCCTGAAAGCAGAAGAATCCTACTGAAACTGTAATGAAGAAAAAGCAGATAGCAGCAGAAAACAGAAGCTGTAATCACTCGATACAAGAACATCTGTTTCAGAACACTGCTGTCCTGGAGCAAAGTAACTAACCCGGGGCTGATGCATGGGAACTGTCCCTGTAATAAGTGAACTGTAAATAGCCTCAGATAAAAGTGTCTAAATTAATGTTTATGTAGGCTGCGAAATGACTGCTCACAAGCAGCAAATCATTCGTTTTTGGATTTGGACATATTAGCATGCATGTTGCGTTACAAAACTGCTAGAAACACTGAAGTCGCGGAGTTTCAGATGCCAAAATTAGAATTTTGCTGGAGACAACAAAGCCGAGAACCTCGCAGAAGATCTGACTATCTCACTTTTAGTTTACACTTATGTACAGTTTTTAACCAATTATCTTATTGCAGGTGTTCTCCTCTCTTTCTCTCCCTGGAAAGACTGCCAACTAGTCTTAAGTCAAAACATATTTTAATTGAGTCACAGAGTGATTATTCAGTGCATTTGCCTAGTTTTTATCAAAAGAACATGTTGAAGGCCATGTGAACCAAAACAGCAACTTAGTATCAGTGCAAGTTCAGCGGATGTGAGAGGCCTAAAATCATAATTTCATCCAGGCAATTCTACAAACATATCTTAAAAGTCTGATCAAAAATATACTATACTATAATGCTAACGCTGTGCAAAAATCAACAAACATGACAAAACGTGATATTATGAATGTTTTGTTTTGAATGTTATGAATGTTATGTTTTTATATAACGTTTACTTTGCATATTGAGTTTTTTTTTTTTTGAAGCACAGAGAGTGAGATTTTTAGGAGCATATATATAGGTCGATATATATATATATATATATATATATATATATATATATATATATTCATTTGATAGTTCAAATGAAGAATCAGCAAGAATCCACACACACGAGAAATAGACTCCGGCTCAAAGGCAGAAGGTCTACGTGAGTGTGTGTGTGTGTGTGTGTGTGTGTGTGTGTGTTAACTGCTCTTTAATCGAGTCCCTCCACATCTGTGTCCACTCTGTATACTGACTGAAATAGAAGGGGAGAGAAGGCTGGCAAACAGCTCTGTCATTTAAATGATAAAAATACCAGTAGAGCTGGGAGGGTCCGCCGCTGTAAGCACAGGCGGCACAGCCAAACATTACAGAGACACGAGAACTAAACCACAGCATCCCTTCAGTCTCTAACAGGAGAAACAAGCTCTCAGAAAGCCTCGCAGCACAGAAGTCATGTTAACCTGCTCCTCATAACCAATTAACTTCCCTGCTGAAAAGAAAAAAACAGCTTAAACCAGGTTTACATGATTTAGGCTGGTCTCCTACCCAGGCCAAGCTGGTTTAAGATGGTGTTCCAGCTGAAAAGGGGCCAAAACTGGCAAAAAGATTAGCCAGACCAGACTGGGAGACCAGTAAAATGATTTCTCAGCTGGGAAAAGAAGGTTAAAGCCTATACTATTAATAATAGACTTTTGTGCCCGTGAAATTCCACGGCAACATCGCTAACGTGACCGCTGTAATTATTTTATCCCACTGGTGACAGAAATCTGTTCAAAGAGACTCATGTGGAAAAATATTGAGGACATTAAATATTTTATTAAATACAGTTGAGCCAATTTACTTCACAAAATAGAACTGGGTAGATATGAGTTAATATACAGTACACTGACATTAATTATGAAAAAGAAAAAACTCATCAAATTCATCACACAGCTGAAGAAATGGTGCTGGTAAAGTGGAGAGAGGGTGAACAGTCCAGAAGGTTTGCATGAGCTTTTGGTGGTGGGATTGTTCGAGTCGCTCTGTCTACCTGCTGAAGAGCTTCATGAAGCTCTGGAATCCATCTTCACCAAAGAAATCAAACGTTCCCTCTGAGCTGCCCAGATGAACCACCAGCAGGACCAGCAGACCCAACAGCAGCAGAGGAATCAAGAGATTCCAGCCCGATGCCAGAATGTTGTACCACTTCGCTTTGTCTGAGCATTCCTGTGCTGCACGCATGTCGCCCAAGGTCTTCTGATCTCGAGCCTGGAAACAGACAGACGCAAAATGGAAATGAGTCTCGGACGGTCGTGTGTTTTTACAATCAAGGTTCTTCAATGGTTCCTTGCATTAGGTCCAGCAAAGATCCTTCTTGCCTTTTCTACTTAACTGCTCTTTTAAAAATAAAGGTTCTTTATTCACATCAATGGTTTCGTGAACATTCACGGAACCTTTCCATTTACACAAAAGTTTCTTTATAGTGGAAAAAGTTTACTAAAATGTTCTTCGCACTATCAAAAAAAATAGTTCCTTTAGGAACTGTTCACTGAAAGGTGCTTTGGTAAACCAAAGATGGTTCTCTCTGGCACCGCTGCAAAATTCCTCTTTTGGAACCTTTATGTTTAAGACTGTGCATCTAATCTCTGTAGGGTTCTTGAGTTGCTTTAAGGTTCTTTGGAGATCAAAAAGCTCTTGATGTTGTATTGTTAGTTCCTTAGGTGGTGTTTTTGGTTTCTAGACTCTTTAAAGCATCAAAAAGATAATGATTTTTTTTAACACCTAGACATTCTTCTGTTGGACTGTAAAACCCGTTTTGGTTCTATTTAGAACCTTGATGGTCCATCATGTGACATCCAGGAATATTTCTGAAGAGGTTTGAAAGAGAGAAAAACTCCAAGACATTGGTGTTTGAGCTCACCTTGATGGAGTAGATCAGAGCCATGAATCCCAGGCAGCAGAAGTTGACGTAAAGAGTGTTACAGAGCGACCAGATCAGGTAGTCGTTTGGTGGCTTCTTGCCCGCATGGCTCATGTTGACCACCGTGGAGCCGCCAGCCTTACGGCCGGACTTACAGTTAGTGAGTGGAGTGCAGTCGTTCATGTAGCTGTATGTGGCGTTATCCATCCTTGGAGGTCAGGGGTCGAAACTCCTGGGAGAATCTGAAGATGAATTACTGAGGAGAAAGATCAGGACACTACTTATACAACACTGCAGATAGGTGGAGTCAGAGACAGAGCGCCATGGAGAGAGAGGTCATTCATTATGTGGTTGTCGCTAGAGAGATCAGGGCAGGGTGCTGCTTCTATACATGGAACCATTTCAACAAAATCTCTAGGTTTGTCAAAAAAATGCATAATTATAGTTTTAACAGACTGTTATTAAAGAATTCTAAATAAATATAAACGCCTAAAAAATTCATTAAGAAAACTTTAAACTTCTTACTGGGTTAAAAATGTTACGTTACTAGATGTTTTAGGGGTATTTAAGAATTTTTCACCCTTTTCTTTAGACTGGAAACTACAGAGAAGAGTTTTTAGAGGATAGAAATGTGGATGGGACGCAAGCTGTACTCGAACCTACATCCTTATCGGAGCACCAAAGCTCAAATGTTTAGGAAGCATGTGTGCTACAGCTGCACATTAAAAAATAATAATAATTCAAGTTATGTTCATTTTGGTCACCACTGTGTCCGGTTACAAAATACTAGGATCTAGGGTTCCTGTGTTAGAAAATGGCGCCCCCTACTGTGGAAGCACTGACAAAAAACTAAATTACAGGAGAAGTTATCTCATAACATTTTTTCAAAACATGTAATGTTTTCTTTCTTTAAACAGATTGTTCCGAAATCCCAAATAATTAAGAAAATGAAACATGCAATATTTTGAGTCTTCCGAAGCCATGCAGTTTGTCCCTCTTGTGGGAGGAACAAACTAAAATGTATAATATACTAATTTATATTAAAAACTTTGACCTCCATTGTAGCTTTCAAATCTCTCACTTGCAAGAAGACTTCTTAAAAGGTATGGCAATGTGAATTTGGTGAATTTCCTGAAAATTCAGGCTTTTAAAAGATGAGAAACAAAGAGGACACATTTTTTTAAAGAAAAAGACAAAAATGAAAGCGGAAGCAACCAGGATTTCTAAAATGAATCCACAACTCAGTCATAGAGATCAAATATTCAGATTTATTAATTACAAAATGTCAAAAGATGTTACATTCGCATTATCAGAACTGAATTATATTCAGTTAAGGCAAAAGGGACGGAAAGAGTTAATTTCTCTTAAACGCATTAGTATCCAAGATATAAAGGAAAGGGAAAAAAACAAATCAAAAGGCTCACACAATATTAATGTTAAACACACATGTTGTTAATTCTCAAAGTATTATTTGCTACATTTCGCACACAATCAAAATGCAGAAGTATACTGAAACAGGCTGATAGTTTAGGATTAGCTCAAACTTGCATATGCATTAAAGGCCTCCATTTGGTTTGACTGCATTAATCATATTTCTACAGTACACAAGGAATGAATTAAACATCATGACTCTATATCACACTCTATGAGAGAATGAATGTGTGTGTGTGCGCAGAGAGGCGGCACTTTGAAATCACATCTTAGAAGCTGCGGCCACAGCAGACGGTCCACTACGAGTATAAACATGAATAGTGTTCTGGAGAGATAAAGACAGAGAAAATAATGATAAAATAAAGTTTATTTCCACCACAGAAAAAAAGAAGGAAATTTTGACTTTTTATCTTGCAATTCTGACTTTTTTCCTCAAAATTCTGCATGTCTACAGGTCAGGTGTCTAAAAATGCAGGGGGAAAAAATAGAATTGCAAGATAAACTAAAAATTCAGAGAGAGAAAAAAAAAAAAAGTCAGAATTGTGAAGGGAAAAAATACCCTTTTGCCCAAAATAAGCTTTCATATATTTTAGTACCACTGAAATGCTATTATAATTTTTGCAATATTTTGAATTTGTATTTCATTTTTATATTACTCATTTACATTTTCATTTTAGTTTAATTTTGTAAATAATGATAAAATAAAATTTATTTCCACCACAGAAAAAAAGAAAAAAAGAAGGAAATTTTGACTTTTTATCTTGCAATTCTGACTTTTTTCCTCAAAATTCTGCATGTCTACAGGTCAGGTGTCTAAAAATGCAGGGGGAAAAAATAGAATTGCAAGATAAACTAAAAATTCAGAGAGAGAGAAAAAAAACAAAAAGTCAGAATTGTGAAGGGAAAAAATACCCTTTTGCCCAAAATAAGCTTTCATATATTTTAGTACCACTGAAATGCTATTATAATTTTTGCAATATTTTGAATTTGTATTTCATTTTTATATTACTCATTTACATTTTCATTTTAGTTTAATTTTGTGTGTGTGTTCTTTTAATACATACAGTATTTTTTTAAACATATACTATTATAATGTTTTATTTCAGCTTTTTATATTTTCATTGAGTTAACTATTTCAAGTAACATTTTTTATGGTTTTACTCATAGTTATAATAATTAAACTTAATAATTAACTATAACCATTTTGACACACACTAAATTAACATACGCTGTAAAAAATCTTCAAAACTGTAAATAATAGATTATTGGAGTACATTTTCCAAGAAAATTCTATTTTAGTCTTTAGTCTATTTATTGTACTTGCCATTTCTTTGTAATTAATTGTACAATTTACTAGCAATTTCAAATAAAAAATTTTCTTAAATTTTTTCCGTGTACATGAATGTGTGTGAGACTGATAGAATGTTTTCTACCTTCTTCCCTTCAGCGTTGTACAATATTTTGAATTTGTATTTAATTTTTATATTACTCATTTACATTTTCATTTTAGTTAAATTTTGTGTGTGTGTTTTTTTAATACATACAGTATTTTTTTAAACATATACTATTATAATGTTTTATTTCAGCTTTTTATATTTTCATTGAGTTAACTATTTCAAGTAACATTTTTTATGGTTTTACTCATAGTTATAATAATTAAACTTAATAATTAACTATAACCATTTTGACACACACTAAATTAACATACGCTGTAAAAAATCTTCAAAACTGTAAATAATAGATTATTGGAGTACATTTTCCAAGAAAATTCTATTTTAGTCTTTAGTCTATTTATTGTACTTGCCATTTCTTTGTAATTAATTGTACAATTTACTAGCAATTTCAAATAAAAAATTTTCTTAAATTTTTTCCGTGTACATGAATGTGTGTGAGACTGATAGAATGTTTTCTACCTTCTTCCCTTCAGCGTTGTATTTATCTAGGAGACTTTGAACGCCAGTGCCGTAATCGGGGTGAACGGCCATCAGGTTTTGCACCTGCAAAAATCACAAAAATCCATCTGAATCCATCCATCTGGGTTTTTTTCTAGGCATGTTTATATATTCCTGAAAAACTGCTAATGAGAAGTTTGACTAGTTTTCATGAGATTTACGAGAGCGAAAAATCTCACAGGACCAAAAACAAAACATCATACCACGCGTTTCTGAATAAACAGTTGAGCTCCTTTCAGATGGCCGGCCGTGTTCTGACACAGACGCTCTCGCTCGGCTTCGTTCAACACCTCCGTGAAGAACGTGCGCACCTGCAGAATGCATTAGAGCGGGATTAGAACTCACCATACTTGTGATTATCCATACACAGACGCACACACGTTCACCAACAAACCTGGGCCACATTGTCATCGTCTGCGCTGTTGTATCGGGCCACATCAGGAGACACTTTACACTTGGACTCGATGAAGCGTGGCTGGGTCTCAGGAGCACTGAAGCTGTTGGGGAAGTAGTTAGGAGCCCCCCCTGCAGGACAGGAGAGGAACTTTTAAGAGACTAATACCATCTCTAACTCAAAACCAAACAAAGCATTTGACATCCCATGTTTTGTTCTGCCGTGTTTGGAGTGTGTGTCACTCACCCTGGTTGTCGTACATGCACATGGGTCCGTCTCTCTGGTAGTTTGCCACGCGGGTGCGGTAGGGGCAGTTGACAGGCAGTTGGAGGTAATTCACTCCGAGCCGATGTCTATGTGTGTCTGGATAAGAGAATAGACGCCCCTGTGGCGACAAAATTGAGCAATTACAGTATTTAGCAACATTCTTGCAATTAGTTATTAGTCACTGACACTTTAATCCAAAGTGATTTACAGGACGCTTATTACAAGTACGCAGAGCTTAAGTGCCTTGCTCAAGGACAAAATAGTGAACAAGCATCCTTTTGTGCATTTTAAGCTTGTGCAAACGAACCTATAAAATGTGTCTGGGTAGGTTGCTTAATAGGTTTTGTGACACATTAGTACAAACATACCTGCAGCATCTTGTCCGGGCTGGGCTCAACGCCGGGAGGCATGTTACTGGGATCAAACGCCAGCTGCTCGACCTCAGCAAAATAGTTGACAGGGTTTCGGTTCAACACAAGGCGTCCCACAGGAATCAGAGGGAAGTCTTTATGGGGCCAAACCTGAAAGATACAGAGCCAGTCATTGGGATGGGCACACCTACATCTCATTCTTTGTTATGAAGAACGAGTTATTTCATCAAAACTATAAAAGAACACAAATGGAAGAATAGGAATTGTGTAGTGACCAATGCCAGACATTAGTGTAGTGCAGTGGTTCTCAACCAGGAGGCCCGGGCCCATTAGGGGGCCTCAGCAAACTTCCATGAAGGCCCCATTAAGTCATAAACATTATTTAAATATTTTTTTAATACTTATACGTTACATATAATTTATTTAAATTATTTATTAATGTTGTAGTAACCTTAAAATGCAAAAAAAAAAAAAAGACAAACAACATTAAACTGACCATTTTTTTAGTTTATTTTTACTACATCAGAAACAGTGTTATTCTAGAATAACTGAGATACTATTATAGCTTTTTTTATTTGTTTTATATATGTTTTAATCATTTTGAGTGTTTTTGCCATTGTTTTATTTTTTTGTGTACTAGAGGTACATATCAGCCTAAATAGGAGGGCCTTCAAATATTGTTTTGGACAAAAGGGAGCCTTGAAGTCAAAGAGGTTGAGAACCACTAGTGTAGCGTAGTGTCTTGAGGTGCATTCTGGGATGCGGATACCTTAGTCAAATCAAACGGATTCCACTTCCAGTTCTCCGCCTGCTCAAAGGTCATGACTTGGATGTAGAAAGTCCAGGATGGGAAGTTGCCGTTGGAGATGGCA